CCCCAAAACCCCAAAACCCCAAAACCCCAAAACCCCATGAAGAATTTAATAGTGGAATTTTATTAGAAAAATAGATATGCTAGGCAAGACTATTGTCAGACAATCGATTAACTTTGAGGAGAAGTTTGGACATCTTTTTCCACATGCACCCCACACCCAGAATCAAAGCATTGATACCATCTTCTGAGAAGGTACCCTCTTGTTTTTATGTACAGATATGTTTGAGAAAGGGAAAAATGATGAACTTTCAAAATTTAAAACTAAGCATTCAGCGAAAAAGTCCAAGATTTCTATCAAGTAAGTGACTAAATCATTTTTAGGAAGAAACACAAGCAATCAACTACTCAGGATCTTAAGAAAAAAAACAGAAGGACTATTGCGAAGATGAAATTACTTGCTAATACACCTGACATACTTTCATCAAAGATAAAAGTCAATAGTAGAATAGGTAATGAGAATAAAAAGTCATCTGTATCCATCTCTGCAGGAGCTAGAGGGGTGTTTGACTCTGCTATTGGGACAGATAACTTGGCTTATTCGTTTCAATCTGCAGGGGACTCGTTCCTCCCCACTGTGAAAGAATCAGATGCTTCTGGATCTCAATGCTCTGTCTTATTCAATATAAAAAGAAAGAGCCATATTAAGAAGTTTCAAGAACGTTCGGCTATCAATTCTTTTAAAGAGAACCTAGACTCTATGCAAAGGCTTGTGAATATAAGCTATGAGCAATCTCTTAAAAATAACACGACACAGGAGAACGGGCTGCTCCCTGTTATCATGGATTCAGTGGACAGCTTTAAAAGGTAAGCTAAAAATTCACCAAGATAATATGTTTAGAAATTTGAGCGATCTGAAGGAAAAATGAGAAATAAAATTTGAGATTTATGAGTTGTTTCAGTCAATTATGTCCACTCTTTCAATGATGCTTTCAAAGCTGCAAGGGTCTATCCATACTAAATCTCTTGTCTTTTCCTCTCATGAGAAGTCCTTCAAAGAGGAGATTATGGAGAAAGATAGGATTATTGAATCCTTAAAGAAAAAGGATACAGGCGACACAATTCGTAGCTGTATTAACACAACTAAGGTCATCGATACGAGAATCAATGACTTTATCCAGATGCAAAGTCTCATGACTCGTGAGGAGTATGAAGGCATGTCCTACTCTAAAGCTGACCAGGATCTTGAGGACATGTTTGAGTTCTTTCAATTCATTGGAGGAACTCATGTTGACATCCAGACTTTTAGAGAAAAATTCGAAAATTTTGATAAATTTCAGAGTGTTATTCGGTCTCAAGGAAAGAATCTTCAAGTTATCACTTCGAAAATGATGGCTAAGAGTATGACTAATGAGGGCCCACAGCTGACAACAGTCCAGACCCAGACCAGGAGGATCGATGATAATGATCAGCTTCAGGAATATGAAGATAGAATTAAAGAACTAGAATTTCACTTGAAGAACCAAGATGCTTTGATAAATAGGGTCATGGAGAGATCCAAAATGCTTGAAGAGGAAAATAAAAAACTAAAAGACTCAAATCTACAAGAAAGAATCCATTCATCAGAAGTAGAGAACTGATTTGAGAAGGGAGACAAGAAGAGACTCAAATTAAGATCAGAAGTCAAGTTCTTAGAAGATCTTGCTAAGAAAGTACGTCATTAATGATCATTTGTATAGCAATCTGCTTTGATTCAAGCAAAGGATAAGATCCTTATTAAGCATGATTTATTAGACAAAGTAGAAATGCCAGATCTTTCAGGAGAGCATGAGGAAAAACTAAAGGAGATTATCCTTCAAAATGAGAAAAATGACAGGCTGGATCATCTTGAAGAGGATGCTGTGAAGGAAATCGAGAATGATATTTCTAACAAAAGCCACCAAAGATTAAAAGGGCTATCATATGATTTTGCCAAATCCAAGCTATTTAAGAATCCTTTCAAGCCTGTTTGAAAGGATAGAGTTGTCCAGACTGATGAAGGTTTATTGCCTATAGAAACAAGTATTTCCTGCCAGAGGTGTGCCTCCATTGTCAATTCTGGAGAGTCTGATACAAAACAACTAATGGGATCTGAGAATATGCAGTATGATATGAAGAATAAGAGAGATTTTAATTCTAATATTGATATCAAAGATGAAAGAAGTCAACATCTTTCAGATATAAGTTCTAATCAAAATTTGAGAGGTAAAATATAGCTTAGCTTACACTATCAGTTTTATGTCTCCTGCTCAATGTTTGTGTGGAATTGTTAGTATTTAAGCTATTTTTAAGATTTTAAAGAGACTCAAAATTTCTATTGCTATATTCAGTAATTATGAATAAGATTTTTCAAAATAAGGATAAAAATGATCTTTTGAATACAGATGAAATGCATTCTCCACTTACAAACATCTCTAAAAATTCCAAAGACACACATTTTCCACTAAATCAGCCAAAGAACCTAAAATCCAAGCCTAAAACCCTCTCAGACCCCTCCAAACTCAAAAACCCCACCCATAAATCCAAATCCCAAATGTAACTCCTCTTCAAACCCTTTCTAGTAAATCAAAATTCTTCAAACCAAGCTCCAGACCTCACCCCAAGTCTACTCTCCATCTTTCCGCCCACTCCAGCCCCTCAAAACCGCACAAAACCTCGCACAAGGCTACTTCGAAGACTACCTCTAACAACAATGATTTTACCTCGAGTAGTAAATATGATAAGGAGCTCTTAAAGAGATACGAGTAAGCTCGAAGTTTTATCAATAGACACTTATTTCATAAATCTGGAGACCAATGAGCAACACCTAGTGCCAAAATCTCTCGCGCACAATCATCTGACTTTAAAGATCTTCCAGAGAGCAACTTAATACCCACTAACACTCTCAAATCTCAGAATTCCTTTACCAAATTAGTGCCTAAGCTAGAGCCTCATGTTCCTCTCCTAAGGAGACGAATCATTGTCAATCGCAATAGCTCTTCTAAAAGATCGCAAAGGACTTTGAAGAAGAATAGTGACCTGAACTTTACACAAAAGATGTCTACTTTTAATAAGGCTGTTGGCAAGGCAGAGTCGCAGAGAGCTCAGCTGGAACCAAAGAGACCGACTTCAAAGAAGTAAGTTTACTTTTAAGTGTGTAGTGTTCGCAAATCCAGGAAGTCTTCCAAGGCTTCACAGAGACATGATGAAAGCAAGTATGTGTCTTTCCTTGGGGGAGCATGCAATTTTTCGGTTCAATAATTGAGTGGAAATGTGGGGTTTTGGGGTTTTGGGGTTTTGGGGTTTTGGGG